TGTTGAATGTGATTTCAATGGCTGTGTTGCATTCCTGTGGCTTCATCCCTTCATATTTTGTGCAGCTAGCATCTGGTTTGTAATCTTGTTTGCCTTGGCTTAAGACAGTTACTCTGGGTATATGTTTTTTAAAGAATACGTTCATTTGACTTTGGAAAGACATTAGGGAAATGAAACTCTTGACTAGTTTGTTGTCTTCAAGGGCATCACCCATTTGAATAGCTGGCACCTTTGTAAATTGCTGAATGATTAATGAAAAATTAGGCATTTATGATGAAAAACTTTTCGAATATAAGATCTCTTTAAAAGTTCTACTTGGTCTCTTATATGACCCATTTTTTCAAATGGATCTGATTGAAGCAGTCAAATGGCGGGCTCCATTAAACTAATTGGGCTGGAGATATCGTAGGGAGAGATTTTTTTCCTTTCAAATTCCATATTCCGTATTGCTGTCCATTTTTTTTTCCCTATTCTCCTTTTCTTTTATGCTTTTACAGTTCTCAATTTGTGAATGATGCAGGTCGTGCAGAAGCTCTACTAATTGCTGCTTTTGGTAAAGGGCTGAAGGTGAAACGTGATGATGACTTTGCACGCATCGTGGATAATCCAATGCCCGAGAAACAAGACTGTCTCCAGATAGCGAATTTTTAGGCCCCAAATCAAGTTTGCTTCTTTGTTCACCTCAAATCTCAGTGGTAAATTGTATTTAGTAATAGTTAGGTTTTCAAGGGTAGAAGCTGAAAGCTGATTGTTTCCCACTGTTTAGTGGCTTGCGGTTTATTCTTAACTTCCATGGTTACCATTTTTTTTATGTGAGATTAAATTCCATTTCCCAAAACACCGAAGTAGCTGTGCTGTTATTGTCTTGGTTAAAACTTAGTCATTAACATTATTGCTCGAGTTAGTCTGTTTGCTTGAACTATTCGACTGGGAAACCGGGTATTAGTTGTGGTTTTAAGACAGATGCAATGATGTAGTTTGGTTGTAAGAGTAGTGTAATGTTTACTTCTCCGTGTGATTGAATGTATTGTTAATTTTTGTAGCAGAACACAATTGACCACTGTTGTTTTTGAAATCTTGCATACAGGCACACTGGTGTTGAGCGCACACTGCCATTTCACCTTGAAATAAAGCATTTTGACTTTTGAGCAGTAAACGAAATTTAATAATAATTTCTAATATAAAGATCTTATTATTTGTTCCCATTGCCACCTGTAAGGTTGGGCAGTGTAATTTTAGTTTATTTTGAATCTTCGTATTGAGATTATTTGTTACCCAACTAGGGCAAGCAAGTTTCATGTGCGGTTGTACCTAAAACTAGCTCTTCAAAGTCTTTTAATCATGACATTACTATTTACCGCCCCCATATTATTAGTCATTGTTCCCTTTGGACGATGTTGTTCTTTTCATTTGTTCTAAAATCTCAGAAGAGAGAAATGTCTTCTAGTTCTGAGGTAATTTTTTTTGCCGTCCAACCGCCAAAACCGGACGCGACCGGTCGTGTCCAACCGTCGGAACCAGACAACTTAAATGGCGTCCGGTTGGTACGGCCGCAAGGACCTCGCACGGCCGGTTTTTCGGGTCGTACGGACTTGTCCGCATTCTACTCGGCCGGCCATACGACCCGATATTTGTTTGGCCGCGATGACCGGACTGGACCCGGTCGGTCCGGTCCGACCGGCCGGACACGGGTTTTTTAGGAATTTTATTTGTTTTTAATAATATATTATAAATTATTATGTTATAGATTCAAAATAATTATGTTATAAATTAAACGTTAGATATTATCGCGTTAGGAATTAGAAATTATTATGTTATATATTCGAAATAATTATTTTATAAATTGTACGTTAGATATTATTGTGTTAGGAGTTAGAAATTAATTAGATTTGATTATTTATGAATTGGACGTTAAATATTATCGCGTTAGGAATCAGAAATTATTATGATGTACAATCCAAATAATTATGTTACAAATTGGACGTTAGATATTATCGTGTTAGGAGTTAAAATTATTATGTATAAATTGGACGTTAGATAATATCGCGTTAGGAATTAGAAATTATTTTATTATAAGTTGGATGTTAGATAATTATCGTGTTAGGAGTTAGAAATAATTATGTTATAAGTTGGACATTAGATAATTATCGTGTTAGAAGTTAAAAATTATTATGTTATAAGTTGGACGTTAGATATTATTGTGTTATGAATTATAAATTATTATGTTATATATTCGAAATAGTTAATTTCTAAATTGGACGTTAGATATTATCGCTTTAGGAGTTAGAAATTAATTAGACTTGATTATTTATAAATTGGACGTTTGATATTATCGTGTTAGAAGTTAGAAATTATTATGTTACATGTTAATTATGCTTTATTATTAACTATCGTAATATATTGCAGGTGTCACTTGAAGACTTTAGTAGAGATGGTATTGATTACAGTTCCACTTCCGATACAAAAAAATGTTTTACAACGATAAGGACGTTATTATGGATGCAAAATATATGGCAAATCTGAATGGTTTCGAGATAATTATTTCGAAACACACAAAAAGAGGAAGGATGATGATCTTGAAGTGCAAACGAAGAGAACGTCATAGAGGCAAAAACGTAGATGTAAATAAAGTTGCTTCTAGACGTACAAAAACGAAAGTGTGACAGTGCCCTTTTGAGATAAAAGTAAAACAGGTGCCAGGAACGACGTACTGGATGATTCACACGAGTCAAGACGAAAATAAGGGCTTCCATAATCATTCATTTGTTGTGTATCTTGAGGGTCATCGACAGTTTAGCGGCATCAGCCAGTCATCCAAAAATATTATTCGTGATATGACTGCTGCACATGCGAAACCAGCAAATATTTTGGTCGCTGTTCAAGAAAAAAATCCGGGAGACCACGCTAATCGGAGACATATATATAACTATAGAGAAAAGTTGCGTAAGGAAAGTTTTGATGGTAGAGACGTTACTACCCAGCTTCTACGTTTGGCTAGGAGCAGCAACTATATAGTTTATATAGATGTCGATCCGGACAAAAATGCGTTGACGCACATATTCATGGATAATCCTGATTCAGTCAGTCTATTTCGGACATATTACTGGTCTGTCGGCATAGATTCCGCGTACAAAACCAACAAGTATGTTACTTTATAAATACGTTATTAGTATGAATTTAAATTAGTATGTTCGATTAAGTTTTATGTGATTATTTTTTTGTCTTTTAGTCTCATTTTCACAGGTACAAGATGTCGTTGGTCGAGATGATTGGCATGACGCCGTGCAACAATAACTTCCTAATTGCGTATGCACTCATGAAAGACGAGTCCCAGGCAAGTTATGACTGGGTTCTCCATAAGTTGAGACTTTTGATAGGCTCTCAGGTACATCCTAATGCGATTGTCACTAACAGAGAGTTGGGCTAAATGACTCTTATTAGAAGGAATTTTCCTCAGTCTGCCCACTTACTCTGCACGTGGCACATAAACAAGGATGTGGAAGATAGAGTCAACAAGTTGCTTGGAAAAAATAAAAAATTAGCTCAAAGTTTCTTGCGCGGTAGGTGGAAGGCGATTGTCGATGCCAGTACGTTGGATGAGTACGACGCTGCCGTAGCTCAATTGAATACAATATACGGGCATGCTCCACAAGTGCTACAATATGTCGAGCAGACATGGTTAGTCCACAAAGAGAAGTTTGTGAAAGCTTGGACTATCTGGGTAACACAACTTCTTGTAGGGTAGAGAGTGCACACTCTGTGTTGAAGCAGTGGCTGTGCACGTCATCCGGCGCGCTCGATACAACGTGGCAGAAGATTGATGCGGAGATCAAGTCCCAGATGACTGAGATCAGGTACATTCCTCATTTTTAACCATGTTATTTCGTTTCACATATATTAGAATTCTGGTTATTTCGTTTTGCTTGTTTCGATTTTTTATTTATAAAAATAAAATAAATAAATATATAACAATTTAATATTTATTTAGACAAACACTATTATCAAAGAATAAGCATCTCTCTCCAGCAGGTAGGGAGGTTCTTTATCAATCAATATTAAATGCTATGTTTGTTTTCATTATGTCATGCTTCTATCTTCCAAAGGGCCGTTGTCAGGAGATATCCAAATTGTGTGCTACGTTCTGGTGGAGCTTAGGTAGTGATCAGAAATCAGGGATCCATGGAATGAATAGAAAGTCATGACAACTAAGCACTATGGTGGGTTGGGCTTCCACAATGTGCTTCATTTTAATGAAGCATTGATCATCGATCAAATTTGGAGGGTTGCTACACATCCAAACTTATTGGTGATCCAAAACCTCAAAGAAAGGTATTTCCTCGGAGGCAACATTGTTGAAGCTCACAAATCACAAAGTTCTTCATGGATGTGGAATAGTTGGATAAATGTGAAAAAAGCCTATCAAGATCAATTCAAAGGGAGGTGGCTGACGGGAGTACCAGAGTTTGGAAAGATTCTTGGATTCATGAAGTTCAAATGAAGTTCCAATTGGAAAAACTGAACATAAAACTGCAGTTTCCTTTGTATCTGAACTGCTCAATGAAGATGGGAGATCTTGGAACAAAGAGCTGCTCCATGAGGTTTTTACTGAGTCTCAAACCACTGCAATCATGAACATCAAAACTTTGCACCCTATAAAGAAAGATAGATGGTGCTGCAATGGGAATGAGAAAGACCACTTCTCAGTAGCCAAGGCTTATGGCCATCTGATACTGTTGAAAACTTTGAAGATTGATAAAGCAGAAGTTAGCAAGGCTGCAAAGAAAGACAAAGTAGCTAATGAGAGGTGTTGGAACCTGAGGATGAAAGGGAAAATTAAACATCTGATTTTGAAGTGCTTTTCTAACTCTTTGGTTACAGATGTCAACCTTTAGAAGAGGGGCCTTCATGTGGATCAAATGTGTCACGGCTGTGGAGAAGCCCCTGAAACAATAGAACACATATTTTTCTAGTGTCCCGGGTCAAATATGATTTGTAAGCTTGCACCTGAAGACTGGGGTGACTCAATGACTGACACACAGCTTCAGGGATTAATGATGGTGGATTGCCTCAATGGACATGAAGGAGATTGCAGAACACAATATTCAGTTATCCACATACATCTTGTGGTGATGGAAGGCAATAAACCTATGGCTCTTTCAAGAAGGAGAACATAACATGAGGTAATCAAACTAGCAACGGTAGACTAACTGGAGTTCAGTGGTTGCAGCTGATCTCTAGATGGATTCTGATTGACATAGAAACAAGCAGACACAAATGAAGCTTAGGTCCTTTGGCCAGTTGACTGAAGTTGTGCTTGCCTCTGATTTTAGTTATGTATCTGTAGGTTGGTCTTTTCATGCTATGTATTGGAGGGTAAGGGGTTCAAATGGATGTATTTACATTTACCTTCTAGATTGTTTTGGATATTTGTTTTTGCTTCTTTGTTGTAGTCTAGGCCACACATTTACTTGTTGTGCTCCTATTGTGTTAGTTTAAGAGCTAGTCAGCTCTTTGGTTGTATCTATTGAACACTTTTTTGATTTAATGAGTATTGTTTATCGTTCCAAAAAATAAAAAAAAAAGGATTTAAATTATAAATTGATTTGATTTTAACTTCATACATAATTAGATAAGGATTCAATTTGATTTTT